CCTCTCATTATTGACATTAGTTCACAAACATTGAAGTATTATGAAAGGCTAAAATCAATTAAACATAATCATCTTCTGGACTGTGCTTTTAATACTGAGAATAAAATGAACGGTAATTCATGGACAGCATTTGTTAAAAGATTATTCACATTAACTAAAATTAGCGATGAATCTAACACTATAGAATTCAAAACCAAATTCAAACAAGTTTACTATAATAAAGTCTGGTTGCCAACGGTATTTAAACCAGAAAAGAATAAGCTACGTACTTTTAACAAGTTTAAACAAAATTTTGAATTTGAACCATATTTAGAACAAATCAAAAATGTGCAACACAGAGTCAGCTTCACTAAGTTTCGCATTTCTTCTCACGCGTTGCCAATTGAAAAACTTAGATATAATAAAACACCCCCAGAGCAAAGGTTTTGTTTTCTATGTAATGGGGATGAATTTCATGTATTACTCACATGTAAAAATAGTCAGATTGTACAAGCTCGTACTAAATTTGAAGCTGAATTTTATGATGACAACATTTGCAAGTTATCAACTCATGAGAAATTCAAGTGCTTGCTAGGCACTAAAGATAGCTTCATTGTCAATTGCTTGGGAAAATTTATTGATTTTATTTCTAAGCTTTAGTTTAGTCTATTGTTTTGTTTGTGTTTTTCTTGACCATTGATTTATTGTATGTTTTTTTTTTTTTCATTCATGCTAAATTTTGTGTCAAATAAAATATCTATCTATCTATCTATCTATGTTTGAGTGACATACAAAACACAAATAACAACATAGGGTGTATATTTTATATTCTCTACTCATGTATGTTTACTCATGTTTAGTGTTCAGGTTCTTACCAATGTAATCACGAATACCTTCCATTTGTTTTTATAATTAACATTTTGTTTTCATTAGTTTAAAGCGGGAGGGTCGTCACCTACGCACGAGAGGGAATTGAGTCCCAAGCGATGAGAACAACACACGCTAAGAACGCAAAGGCTCATGGGTAGACGCTTGTTTGTAACAATGATATATTGAAGATAATATTTGGTAATCGTAGTCCTAAATAACTATTAAAAATAGCTAGACGTTTCGAGCAATGGCTCTTTATCGATAGCATAGAAGCAAGTGAACAAAATATCAATAATAAAATATCAAAATATCAAAATATCAATAAATTGTTTGTAACAATGACGCGATATGGCCCACTGGCGCATGCGTAGGTGACCGATCGCTTTAACCGATCAGTAGGTGACTTGAAAGATAACGGTCACAAACTTATGAATATTGAGTAATCGATGTTACATATAACTGAATTCTACTTAGAAAATTACCAAATAAATATATATGTATAGAAAACATACTTTTGCTGGAGAAGGTTGCCAAATTTAATACACTAATTTTGCGAAAACAATTACCTCGGAAAACAATTACCCCGGTACATCAAATCTATTTAAAAGGGAAATTGTGATCACTTTAGAATTTCTTATTTGCAACCTAAATATTGTCTGTCTTGTTATTTATTCGGGCCTTGGTCGGACAGTAAAACGGGTATGCCGACGGTGTTTTTATTTGCCCACCAATGATGTAATATCAATCAATTTATTTGCACTTTCCGACCATTTGTGTTTTCTGTGCCCGCATCTCCTAATTTGCATGCGTTGTTTGGTAATCTACTTAGTATTGCTACAAGTAGAATGTTTTCTTCTTCTAAGAGTAGTTCAGCTATTTCGACCGACTGGTCGCTTGTTATATTGATTTGGGCTAGATAACAGCGAGTTATTTTCTGTTATAAATTGTATAAAATTTACCAACATGCAAAACCCACTGTTCGCCGGTCTTATCGCAAGATACTAGTATTCATACGGTAACATTTGACAATGAGTGACATATTATCTTTATGTGGGGGGACTAGATACGGCTTTTTGTACCCAACTGAAGGTCGTGTGGTGAAAGCGCCCCAGCTTGCGAGCCATATCAAGCCCATTAAGGTTTTATCATGTACCTTAAAGGCGTAATTGTAAGTTTACCACAACGTGACCTGATTACACGACGAAATTTAGAATTACGCGTTTTGTTTTGATTGATGAAAGCCGGCAGTGATACGGGAAATTACTAGTATTGTCATGATATGAGGGCGCACTTCCTATAGCGTTACGAGGCACGTTACGAACACTTCAGGACCTCCATACGATGGAAAGATAAAAAATACAGATGCATTCGTAAAGCGTAATCAACATGTCTTTGTCGGTGATGGCGCAGTATATTATGTGGGAAAGTCAGTTCAAAGACTCCAAGTGGTTCTGTCATATCGATTATTCTGACAACTGCCAATCAGCTGCATAGCCCCTATATCAAATGTAACAAATGAAAACTGTTTAATTGAAATATTCAATTCATAGACTTGATTGTACGACGTGTTATTTTGTAATTCTTGAAGTCAGAAGAATATTTTCGCTGCAGGTGCTGAATGTAGACCCTTCTTTTCAGATTCGAAAAACAGACCTACGAGACGCACACTCATTCTTGTTTGAGCGATTTGATAATCTTAGTTATGTGTTGCGCTTTGAACACGCACTATCTAACTGTTATTTTGGGGTTAATTAATGTCATGCACGTCCTGGGTGCAATGTAGAAATTAATTACCCTGGGTTTTCACATACATTTCATGGGAAATGAAACTTACAGCGTAGACGATGGGAAACGATATTTGAACTCTGATGGCGCTCTTTGGAAATATCAGAATGGAAATGACGTGGTAGGTTCCAGGGAATCACCTGGCAGTTTGACAGTAAGAAATATAGCAGCCGAAATAAATAACGACAAATAATAATAATAAACAAGCGAGTCTTAAATAAGCCAGTTTATAGAACCAGAACTTGTAACAAACTTATTCAGTGGTGCATGGGGGCCTCCTTGGGATGCCCCCCCTCCCCCAAAATGTTTTCCATTTGTTTTTGTATAATAAAAAAAAGCATTAACTTAGTCTGGCGATTTTAAAGTTTAGACCCCCCCCCCTCATAAAAATTTCTGTATTTGCCCCTGTTATTGCATAATGTATGCGACATGATGTGCAAGTTGTTTAGCTCGGCTGCAATCAGTCAAGGCACGTCATAGATACGACAATTACAATTAGAGTGGCTTCAAAAGCAAAATTGTTAGATTGCAATAAATTATAAGCAAATTTGGTTCACAAAATGCCTCATCAAACAACAATAAAATAAATAAATGTTTCATCCATAGTGCATTTTTAAAATAAACAGATGAATCAGAAACTATAATATTAAGTGAATTTATGCATGCTTCAAAATGCCTCAGTTGAGTTTATCATATACAAATTATATTAGTTGCAAGGCTCAAAATAAAACCAAGTGTAAAACATGTTCCAGTGTCTTCTAGGAGTGGCAGATTTGTTATGCAATGAAGTGCAGATTGGCATAATTGTAAAACATTGTAATCCATTGCCGCATTTTTTTACGGCCCACTGCAAATCATTAATGTTTTACTAACTGTGTGCTACACATGTACATGCTGTCCATGGTTAATTTTCAGGGGGGGGGCAGTGATGGAGCTCTCTCTACAATATCCCACATAAAATACATTCAATACCAGTACTGTTTCTGTAGATATCATTAAAAAAACACTGTCTTCCTCTCACCTCCTCCAAACCCAAAACTTTAAAGTTTTTCGTAGTCATTGATGTTTATTCAAAAATATGTGAAATTGTGACAAGTGTGAATTGGTAAACTTCATTTTAATTGGTTAACAACCAGCTTGACCTATGAAGTCAAATAATGCAACTTCAGGAGAAATCTTGTATGAAACAAACATGGTAGATTGAATTTTACTTGCAATGGTTGGATGTTTACAATTGACACCACTCATTAGCATAACCACCTTAAAAAACAAGGTGGTATTTACAGAGGGCATGGCAGAATTTCCCACTCATAGAAATTTGACTTTAAAGCCAAAGTTTTTTCACACAAATACATTCTAACAAGCATTTATCATATAAAACAAAAAAATGCCAGTCTAGTTGATTATACTTGAAGTTGAAGTGAATTAAGCACACTGGTAAACTGTGGCTACTGACATTTGAAGTGAATTAGTTAAAGAAGATAATGATAGCTAATAATATCAAAAGTGAATTAATTGAGGCTAATATCTGAAGTGAATTAAATCTTTATTTCCAACCAGTATATGATTAGGATTAGTCTTAACTCTGTATTAGACCAAAGTTACTGGATTCATCTTGTCCCATTGTAAAATACAGTCACAAACTACAACTTTCACTTTCAGAATTAAGTTCCATAAATACCAGTGATAGTTGTTTTTACCATAATATATCTGGATGCGATGGGCCCCTTTATTATTTTAATACTATTTGTTTTGTAAAAATACCACGTGAATAAAATAAGAGTCAACATATATCAACACATGTAGTCTATAGTTTAAATTAATATTTGGGATACAACCATTCAGAGTGAGGAAAACTGTCAATGAGGGTTTTCTGGATTTACATCACAGGCTAACTACAACTTGCAAATATTTCCAATACAAGTTTTAGCCAACTGAACAGTTTAATCCTCATAAACTTCAATGTAGAGTTTTGTTAAATTGACGATACGTTGTCATTTACAGTGTGAGACACAGCAGATAGTATCCTGTTTCTTCATCATTTGAAAGTTTAAGACACTTAGCACACAGAATCATCTATTTTGGCTGTGGATGAAGGTTTGGATGTATTTGTTGATGTAAGCTGTGTGCTGGCATTGCTGCTTGTACGTGATGTGGCATTGGTGGCTGATGTTGTTGCTGCAGCTGCTGCTGCAGTTGTTGATGTTGCTGCTGCTGCTGTTCCAAATGTGCTTGTTGTAGTTTCATTCTTTTCCTGGCGTAGTACTGCCAATGCAACAGCTGTTGGTCATCAATAAATTTAGCACATTGTGCACTGACAAGTTCTTTGCGAAAATGTTCGTATTGTAACAGCTCTAAGAAATGCAGAGACTGTGGGAATCTGAAGATATAAAACAATATATTCCATTATGAATCAGCTATATAATAGCTTTACTAATCTTAACCCAAGTCTTATTAGTTATTGTAGAAATATTAGACATTTTATAATTTCACAAATTTCTCATCTATGCACATTAAAAATATCTGACTCAGATTACACTTTCATACATCAATAAAGAGATTCACAAAGCATTTTAATATTTTACAGTATTTAACGTCAATTTAGTATCACAATTATTCAACAACATCTAAAACAAGTCTAGAACATTTGAATGTACAACTAATACTAATAGGAATAGGTATGTTGTATACTTACTTCAAAAACTTGGCATACTGAGACTCTTTCCAATATAATAAATATTTGAGGTAGTTTATAAAATTAGGATCTTTGAAATAACCCCTCTGTGCAAGAACTGAAATTAAATATATGACACAGCTCATGGAATATTATTACGGTCACTATTTTTAATAATTGTTTCATTTTTATTAATTAAGTGCAGTCAATATTCCTTGCATGCTGGGTAATGGTTTTACAATTCTTGATTGCTGATTGGTAAGAATATGTTAACGAGTCATTCATGAGCACTATGCATTAACATGGTGTTTCAATACTTCACTGGTGTATGTAATAACAAGCAGCCTATCGGCTGAGATAGCTCCACTGTTAGCAATGCACATTTCAATTAATGAACTGAAGCTATCATTAGAAAATGAACAATATGTATAGTATCAAAGCAATCAGACTTGCTGTTTTTAACAAGAATACAAAAAAATCAATTTTCACCAAAAATGACAAAAATATTCATCAAAATTAGATAATTGAAGATATCACTACGAAATGAACAAATCTGAGAGAGGTCCACATGTAGTACCTATATGTATAATATCAAAGCAATTGGACTTGCGGTTGTCAACAAGAAATCGAAAAATATCATATATTAGCAAAAATGACAAAAATATTCACCAAAATTAGAGAATTGAAGATATCATCATGAAATGAACAAATCAAAGACAGGTCTACCCAAGGTACATATACACCAAGTATCAACGCATTCAGGTTTGTAGTTTACCTCCATGCTTGTATCATTTAAATTTGTGTACACTGAGGAACCAACAATAGTACTGCATAGTTTTTTGTTGGTGCTTCATTTTACTTTATTATATATTTCCATTACTAACTTCAATGTTTTCGGTTGTCATTAAACTATTAGCCATAGTAATTTGATTAATTTTTATCTGTAATTTGTTGTTGTTGTAACCTTTAACCTTCAGTAGGTTGTTATGAGCTAATAATTGTCGTTGTTGTATGACACAAGCGACTAAGTACTGACAAATAACAATTTGTAACAATATATAGTAGCTCAAGCTACAGTGAAATTGTATCAAAGTTATATTATTGTAATTTAATACATACAAAAAATTACACTTACAGTTAAGATAGTGTGGGTTGGCTAAACACTGCACGAATTCGAGTTCAACTTGAAATCGCACTTTCTGTTGGTCTTCAGTCTCTGTAGAAAAGAAAAAAAAAATTAATATACCACTACTTCCCCCAAAGAATTACAATAAAAAAATTCACATTGCAAAATTCGTGATACCAATTTATCTTTTCAATGGTTCCAAAATTCAAAATGTTGATGTTTATGTAAGAAATCGCCAACAAAACAATAAATTTACAGACCTGCTTCTTCAGAGGCCGCCATTTTAAATGTTTAGTGATGAAAGAGGTCAACCGGAAGCAATAGTTTATCGTATTGTAAGTGGCCAGTACGAAGGCGACTTAATAATTAATGTATTTTCCAACAGCAAATTACACACGTACCTCCCAAAGAAGTCTTGGAAATGATTCAAAACACAATTAACTCCCAAATCACCAAATATAACTGTTATGCTTTGTTACTCAAATATTACAATGCAACAACAGAGGGCGCACTTTTCTTAACTTTCAAACATGGTCGACATAGTGCAATAATATTTTGTCCACTCTCTGCTCACGTTTGCTTCCCGTCAGGAGAGGGTATTAGTTTTAAAAATGGGTCACCGACATGATGTAACACCGCAGACCTTTGAAGCCATTCGAACGGTTGAAGTGGAAAAGATTTCCAGCCTAACAGAAACAGAAATAAGACCACTTTTACCATGTCTAGTCCGAATGTCGTTATGTGCGCCCCTCGATGCGAGCGAAGAATGGGTGGAGGGAAGGAAACACATACTAAAAATACTGTCTGGCATGGAGATTGTTAACTCCATCGTCGCTCTGCTGTCTGTTGATTTCAATGCACTAGAAGTTGATGCAAGAAAAGAACAGCATCTCAGGTAAGTCATGCTGGCATCCTAAATAAGTAAATTGCTGTTTTATATGGTAATCACATTCACTTGGGGGCTGAAAATCAATAAATACTATTGTTTTCAAAAAGTCATCCGCTATACGCATATAAAAGTTATGAAACAGTTATGAAACATGGTACAAAAATGTATCTAGCGAAATCGATACCATGCCGATTTCAAATGTCCATTTCTTACCCTAAAATGCGAAACAAAAAGTTCAGAGGGGATCAGGTGTTACCCTAATAACCATTGTTCATAATCGCTAACTTGGTTTTATTCAAAACTGCACAAATCCCACGTTTTCTGATGATATCCGACGATTTCCTGGACAAAAATGGCCAGCAGCCAAAATCAAGGGGGATTCTGGGCAAATCAAGTGCGCAGACTTATTTTTCAGCCAATTAGGCGTGCCAGAACAGTGAGTATTTCCTTAATTTACCCAGAATTCTGTGCGAAACCCCCTTGATTCTGGCTGCTGGCCATTTTCGTTCTCAATCCCTTGAACGGTTGCCCTCGCTAATCCAACTTTCTCGACGATCATTCGCAAGAGGCAAATAATCTCCATCTCATTGTCTTCGTCTTCGTCTAGACGCTTTGACATAATAGCAATAATTGTTCAAAATCAGAAACTGCATTAACAACTAAACTGTTCTCACGAGGATAATTTAGGTAATTTCATCATCATCATGTTAGGGAAGTTTTTAAATATTTGTATCAACTAGGTTTATTATTTTCTTGAAACGTTCAAAATAGAATTTATTAAATGAACGTGCATATGTATGCATGAAATAATAAAGTGTCCGATATCAACAACGAGTAAAACATGATTGTTTGGTGAAAGTTTGACAGGACGCTTACATGTTGTAATAGTTAACCCATCTGAAACTATGGTTTGTTTTGATTAACTGTCACGTAGACGGGTATGTAACTTTATTGCGTCTACAACGGTCACTGGATCATCTAGGAAGGATGTTGAAAGTCCATCAGTAATTGCCTACCAGATGCGGGAAATATCTTACGCTCGTTGTAATAGAATGGTGAATTTTATTGTTTTCAGTACCAGATCTACAAAGTTTGTTTATTTTACAGACAAAAGGCTGGAGACTCTGAGAGTTTGTTATCTTCACTTCCGTGTCCAGCTTTGGAGTTTGAAAGAAGTGATCCAGCAAGAAGACTTAGAATTATTATCAGTGAATTAATGAATATAATGAATCAGGTAAGATTTAAAGCGGCAGTGTCGTCATCTGTACGCACACACGATAACAACACACGCTAAAATGCAAAGGCTCATGGATAGACGCTTGTTCGTAAACAATGATACGCTGTGGCCATCTGACGCATGCACAGGTGACAACTCTCTCGCTTTAACATGAAAATTAACACAAGGTTATTATATCATATCAGTAGTATAATAATAATATTATAACTGAGCACCCATTATTCCCTTAAATGAAAGTAGAGTAGGTAAAAAGTTTACATGTGATGTATTCCAAACTGTTACTTATCATACAAGTATACACACTAGTTATGATGTCACACTGTGGTAATATGCACTTCATAAATTCCATCTTAGTACATACATGCATGTGTGTGTGATATAGTACCAAACTATATATTTTATATCTAGTCAGGTTTGTCACTAAGTTGTGAACAAATGTTTTAAAACATGCAGAAAATATACTAGGTACCGTAAAAACTCGTTTCTATTAATTCGCGCACCCATTTTATTTTCGAGCACTAATTTTTAAATGTATCCTTTTAATTCACGGCGTTCAAAAACGCGGGCCAGAATAAAGTGGATAACTCAGAATATATTGCATGAAGACATTAAAAATATACATTTTGTTTGAGTTTTTATGTTATCAGTACTTGGTGTAGCCGCAATC